CCCCCACGAGGGGTGGAGGGAGCCTCACTTTCACGCCCCACAGCATCTTCTGAGCTAGAACCTGCCACGGAAGGCCCTCAATGCCTGCTTTTGAAAGCAAGGACCGAGTCGGGATTAATCCCGGGAAAGGAATCTTTGTAAAGAAACGGCACGTGCATTCTCGCTAATAAATCTTAAGACCATTTACCAAGTGCATCGTCCTGCTTGGGAGGACACCTTAGCATCCTTTCTCATCATGCTGACTCCACGGCTCCCTCACACCTGCCCCCACACCCCTCCGCAGGTGTGACAGCCGCGACCGTGCACGCCCGCTGTTTTCCTGAGCAGCTTAACGAGCGACTGTGGGTTTTTCTTTTTACGCGAATGTGCATCATGTAGCAGAGGCCTTCGCCGTTAACTCTGGGAACACATTAGACACAGTGTAGCAGCCTGACGATCTAACCTTTTCACTCTTGTATTTCCTTAAAAAGTGTCAACTTCTAGCTATTTGAACAGGTTAAAAGCAAGTGACTGGGTTAAAAAGTGACCTAATTCGGAGAAAACCAATGTGATCACAGCGGATTGGGGTCCCGGCTCATCCATCAGTCAGTTCTGCCACGAGACCTTAACCTCTTTAGCCGCAGTTTCTTCACCTGTAAAATGGGGTAACAGTATGAACGCAGAGGGTTCCCGAGAACCTAGAGACCCCACATTTGGCACAGGGCCCGGCTCAGGTTAGCGCTCGCCACGGCTCCCATCTGGCACATGGCTCTGGGCTACCCTCTAACTCCGTAAGGCATTGCCCAGGGACGCAAAACGGGCCTTAGAGGGTGCCCTTCCTGGCCTTACAGACCTCCTCCCGGGACCGCTCCACATTGGGTGGCTTGACGAGTCTAAAACTATTTCTGTCACGTGGCTCTATCTAATCAGGCGTCCCCCTGGCCTGCACATTACGTTTGAAGTACTCTACCGCGTCTATTTCTGGGTGTTGGTGAGCCGGCCAGGGTGCTATCAGGAAGTAAAAAGTTGCTGTTTAAAATGGTCACCAAAGCAAGGGACCCACCTAAAGAAAGAAAAAGGGCAAGAAGCCATTCTTGCACTTTCTTCACTGTCTACAATTAGTACCTTTCAATGGGTTTGTTTATGGGGTGTCTTCCCTGCCAGAAGAAAAACTTTTGAGGACAGGAGGGAAGTCTCTGCAGAGTCAGGTGCTCCATCAACGTGCCCGATGACCTTTTTCTATTCAAGCGTTCTGCCCACAGACCTCAGAACCCAGTGCTTTTTGGTCCGGGTAGATTCAGGTCAAGTATGGGATGGGGTCCTGAAACATATAATTTCGGGGGGCTCCCTTAATAAAAGAACACAGCATTGTGACTCTTTCAAGAAATCAGGGCCTTGTAAGGAACCCACATGATGTGGGGCCCTGGCTTTTAGAGCCTCAGGGCGAAGCCACCCCTGGATGTCCTTACAGGCTTTTTGGAAAGAAAGCTTACCTGGCCGAAAACAGGTAGGAAATGGTAGGTTAAGATTAAAATCGGTTTGGGCAGTTGTTACCAGGTGAGATGTTTTTTTTTTTTAAAAAAAAGCAATTGTCACAAATTTCGAAACCCAGTTCTTCGTTAAGCTTTTAAATGCAACTTTCAAGTCTTACTAGTCTATGTATCAAGCCTGCAAGTTTGAGTGGTCACTTCTTAGGGGCCCTCTGCACTCAAGATATTCAAGAGCTTCCCTGTGGGGTCCGAATAAGCCCTTGAGAGCGAGGGCACAAGGGAACAGTTTCCCATACCCCTGGCGGATGCTCGGGGACCCCAGTCAACACCTTTCTCACAGGGCGGTGTATCCCCACAACCCAGCCAGCTCTCACTGACAGGTTTGCAACTGTTAA